TGACAGCTCGTGGGTTTCAGCTTCCATCCAAGTGCTTGTGTTGTCTGCTTTCGGCTACTGAATCCCTTCACCACTTGTTCTTGGAGGGGGAACTTGCGACTGCGGTTCGGGAGTTTTTTGGCTCACCTGGGGGGAGGGTTATGACCGGCCATTTGAGGGTGTGGCTGATGGATTGGTGGCTTAAGCCAGTGAAGTCGGATAAGCTTCGGTTTGTGTTTCGGGTATTACCATCTCTCATTTGTTGGCATATTTGGAAGGTCAGGTGCACAGCTGTGTTCCAGGGAGCCATGCAGAGCCCTGCACAGGTGTCTCAGGCAATTTTTCGACAGGTTAAGGAGGTGTTTTGGTTTAAGTTCGGGGTGACACATCGGGCGACCGACTGGCATACGTTCTTGGAGTCGGAGGAGGGTTGGCAGGAGGCATTTCTCGTGCGTCCCATTCGGTGGGTCGTTCCGTGCCATGGCCTGGTCAAGCTTAATACTGATGGGGGCTCAAAAGGTAACCCAGGGGTGAGTGGGGGAGGAGGGATCCTTCGGAATCCGCTGGGAGGTATGATTTTTACGTTTTCCAGCTATTTTGGGAGTTGTACCAGTTTACAGGCTGAGGCTAAAGCATTATTACTCGGGTTGCGGATATGTGAGCAACGGGGGTTTGGTGGTAACGTGGTGGTGGAGACTGACTCTCTGATGTTGGAACGGATTCTGCTGAAACGCTGCTTGTGTCCATGGCCATCAGTGTAGAGGTGGGTAAGATTGGGCTCCTACTCGGGGGGAGCTGTCAAGTCACACACTGTTACAGGGAAGCGAATAAGGTCGCGGACATTTTGGCGAATGTTGGGGCAGCTCATTCTCAGTGTGGGGTTTATGTCTATGATGGGGTTGATGAATTGCCCAAGTTGGCTAGGGGTGCATACCGGTTGGATAGGAGTGGTTTTCCTTCGTTTCGTAGGTTTAGGGTAAAAGGGGCTTCTTCCCATATGTAATGGTTCCCACGCTTGTCTTCCTTCTTTGGTCTAATAAAATAAAGGTTTGATTAAAAAAAAAATCATCTAAAATTAATGTAAGATGGATATGAGTATATAGCAAATCACATTTTTGAAACTCAACAACAAATATGATTTTTAGTATATAAAAATATGATAACATTGAAAAAAATCATAATTTAAAATTAACTAAAATTTTTACATACAAGTACCTTTTCCAATAGATGATTTATTTTCAAAACCTCCATCATTTTTTCGTCTTATTTTGAAAACTCGAATAATAGTATTAGGTCTATCTTCAACATTTTGTCTCAATATTCGTGTTAACTCTAATTTACTTTCTAGCCAATTCAAATTGTAGGTAAATGTGATGAAAAAATCTGAATTTTTTACTGTCATACAAATTGTCATTGCATCATTAAAATGTCATACCATATTTCAGAATCTACCTAAAAATAATAATGGTAGAATAATTTCTTTTTCAATTGCTAATGCATCTATATCTCCGGCAATAGTAGTATCTTTTATGTCTTGATATATATCAACACACAACACGGATTGATGAATTTCATAAAATTTGACCTATTTTTAATTGTTACATAATAGGCAAAGACAAATTGTTGGAATAGTTTGGCACATTTCAAAAATATATAACCCTCATTATATCGAAAATATGAATGCAAAAAGTATTGAATTTACGTAATGAGAAATTTTCTTTTCCTTTTAAAAAGAGTTGAAAAGTTTATTCCATAATGTCATTTATCTATTCCATAGGAAAATAGTAAAGGATATTGTAGTTACATGTATGATGGCTGTGTCTCCTTGATTTTTTTTTCGATTTTCATCTCGAGTGATGAGTACAATATTACAATGTGTAACATGACCCCTGTCCTCATCTATAATCAAAGCAGCAACTTCATTTGCAGTTGATTGGATGTGCTGTCTATAGGTTCAAGTACAAATTAATTATACTTGCTGATTGGAAACACTTTAGTTTTGGAGTATATCTCTAGCACTCCAAAAAAACTTGTACATATAGATTGATCTCATCGAGCATATTCTATAATCTCTCAACTGCTAATGCCGTAACTCTAATTGGATTGTCATTATAACTATTTAGAAGATTCATACAATTCTATAACTTGTTATCAGTATAAAAATGTACAGTTATATGAATCTACCTAATTCTCCAATAGAAGGTAAGAGAGATTCAATTAGATGATAATTTTCTCGACTAAATCAAAATCAATATGGTCTGACAGAATTGAATACAGAATCATCTATTTTGCCTCCTATAGATGTGAATTTGAATAAGAAGTTCAATAAACGAATTTTTTCTTTCAAATTTGGAGTAGTAAGTACTTGTTTTAGAAACTGAGTATTAGGCAATAAAGACAAAACAACATCCTCATTTTGGCAACACAAATTGTTTTTGAGGGTTTCTTATGAAATATCAATTTTATATCCAGATAGATTGGTAACGTCGTCTTGCTGTCTAAAGTCCAACTTCTATTCTATTTCATATCTTTCGTTTCGTTTCTCTCCATCGGACCATCTCTGCTACCGAGCTGACTTTTTCAACAATATCTGTACTTTGTGACACTGGTCCAAATAGACTCTTGCGAGTGGAAAAGGAAAAGGTGAAAAATGAATAGACACTTTCAGATATTGACGGCTTGATAAGCTAGTGGCAAGTACCATTCTAGTTTCGTAAATTTCAATGGCCTATTTGAAAAAGACAGTAATTGTTTTGAATTCAAATAATAGCAAAACACTAATAAACGAAGGTCATGGGGTCAAGAACTTTTTTGAAATGGACCTTAAAATTTTGCAATAGAAATTCAATCTACCACTTGAAGAACGGTTCAATGTTGACAATGCTTTAAACGAATACATACATGTGATCGATACACGAAATTGGAATGAAACTAATACTGAGAACATAGTGTGTGATGTAGCTAAAGAAAGAAGATTGATCCAAATTGTTAATCATGGGATTTCTACTGAGGCGCTTTCAAATTTAGGAATGCAACTCGTGAATTCTTTGAATTGCCACTAACTAAGAAATTGAAATATACCAAAATCAACTCTTCAAGAAAAAATATTTCTCTTCGAACAACCTTTCTCTCAGAAATTGAAAAGATTCACAAGTGGAATGACAAACTTACGTTTATGTATGTTTTTGATGAAAAGACCCAGGGGTTTTGGCTTCCAATTTGAAAGAAAGAAATGTTCAAATATATAAAATCATCCAAAATACAGGTAAAAAAACTACTAAAAATTCTCTTGAAACGGTTGAATGCGAAAGAGATTGATAAAAAAAAAACACTTAATGTTTATGGGTACAGAAAGAGTCAATTTAAATTATTATCCAAAATGTCCCCAACATGAATTTGCTATTGACATAGGCCATCACTCCGATATATCAACTATCACCATCATTTCTCAAGGTATGATAGGAGGTTTTTTAGGTTTGAAAATCAGAAATTGATCCATGGATACATGTCTTTCCAATAAATGGAGTTTGAGTGATAAATATTGGTGATACTATAAAAATCATGATAATGGACGCTATAGGAGTATCGAGCATTTGTGACTATTACCAAAGTTCACAATAGGATTTCAATGCAATTTTTTGTAGGTACAATACATTGTGCAATTATCGAACCTTTTGAAGAAGTGTTTGAGAGCATTGGAGAAGAACCACTCTATGAAGAGTGTCTCTACTCGAACTATGCAGCACATTTCCATTCAAAAGTCCATCATGAAAAAGACAAAATTTAATTTGCGCTGATATGAAATTCTGTACTTTGATGTTATATAGTATTATAGGATGTTCGCATCCCATATTGAAAAATAAATCATACAGTTTATATTCCAAAAACACATGGACCATGAATTTAAGAGCTTAATAAGACTAACAATTTTTAATAGTAAAAAAAATGACAATAAAAGTTACATTAAAAGAATTCAAAATACAAAATCAATGAATACATACATGTGATCGATATATCAAATTAGAATGATCCTAATATTGAGAACATGGTGTGTGATGTAGTTAAAGAATGGTGATTGATCCAAATTGTTAATCATGGAATTTCTACTGATGCACTTTCAAATTTAGGGATGCAGCTCGTGAATTTTTTGAATTGTCACTAACTAAGAAATTGAAATATACACTCTACAAGAAGAAATATCTCTCTTCAAACAAGCTTTATCTCAGAAATTGAAAAGATTCACGAGTGAAATGACAAACTTATGTTTATGTATGTTTTTGATGAAAGAGTCCATGGGTTTTGGCTTCCAATTTGTAGGAAAGAAGTGGTGAAATATATAAAATCATGCGAAATACTTGTCAAAAAAACTACTAAAAATTCTCCTAAAACTGTTGCATACGAAAGATATTGATAAAAAAAAAAACTTAATGCTTATGGATATTGAAACAGTCAATTTAAATTATTATCCTAAATGTCCCCAACTTGAATTTGCTATTGACATAGGTCATCACTCTGACATATCAACTATCACCATCCTTCCTCAAAATATGATAGGAGGTTTTTGGATTTGAAAATTAAAAAGTGATCCATGGATACATATCTTTCCAATAAATAAAATTTTGGTGATAAATGTTGGTGATGCTCTAAAAATCATGATAATGGATGCTATAGGATATCGAGCATTTGTGACTGTTACCAAATATTACAATATGATTTCAATGCAATTTTTTGCAAATAAAATATCTTGTACAATTATCAGATATTTTGAAGAAATGCTTGAAAGCACTGGAGAAGAACCACTCTATAAAGAGTTTCTGTAGCGCCCCCACTTCTCCCTAAGGCGAACCAAAGGGTATCCGCGGGACGCCTGCCCAGCTCTCGCCAGGACTCACTACAATCCATCATTCAAAAGCTCGAAATACTTTAAGTCACTTCAATACATAATTAAAGTACTTCAAATATCTCACACTTACAATTATACAGCTTTCAAGCTTAAATACAACCCAACGGAAAAGGGTACAATAGCCATCCGTTATAAAATAACTTAAAATCTTCAAAAGAAAGCAATCTAGTACTACTCACGAGCACCCTTGGTCTCGAACCCTGTAAAAGAAAATCACAACGTGGGATGAGCTACACAGCCCAGTGAGGTTCCAAGACACTCTAACAGTTCAAATAAATCAAGTAAGTTGGGTATATCATATGCATGGTTCAAGGTTGCACAATGGCATGTTATCATGAGACAGGTATCATGGTATGAGTACATTGGTCAGGTAACAGGTATGGAGCATATCACAGGCATAGCTCAGGATTTCATGTTGGCATTTTAGCATGAAACAATTATCATGATACAAGGTAAACATATACGGTAGGATACGATATTTCAGTGGAACTCTGTCGGTCATCTGCACCTTATGACTTTCGGATCCCCACGGTACGGTCTGGCCATCGCCTTATCCCTCCAGTGGTAATACTCGAGTATACCGAAACGGTGGCCCAGGGTTCCAACCTACCTGACCGAGCCCAGTCCTGGCTCGAGTAGGTCAGTAACCAAGGGCAGGGCCCAAGTTCAGCTTAGAGCTTACAACATGCACAGGTAACCAAGTAATTCGACAAAAGGTAAAATTCATCATTAGGGTAGGTCGAGTGAGGTAAAGTACACACTCGCCTAATAATGATGGACAGCTTCATATAACATGTGATTCATGATAATCAAGTAATCAAGTAGATACTTAGCACGTAAGCAATACAAGTTGATTTCATGGGAGCATGTAATTCACGGATATCGAATAGTCATGTAGATTGGAAATCATGTGAGCAAATAGTCAAGTAATCAAGTAGTCATGTGGTTGGTAAACAGTTCACGGTTAACGGTTGACGGTTAACGATTAAGTAGTGACGGTTAATTGACAGGCATTTGTCATATGAATAGGCCACCATTGGCCGTTATCCCATTTTTACCATGTGAGAGTCGAGGAGATTCACTCCAACGACGTATACAACCTTAGCATACCAAGTCATGTTATTCGAGTATTTCCAAGCATGAGTTATTCATCTCAAAAGAGAACGAGTGCGATAAAGTACACACTCGACTCCATTTCTCAAAATCAAGTAGGCTAAGTAAATAATCTAGCAAGTTAAGCATGTATCGAGTTCATATGGTCATTTGATATGGTTAATCATTAAACCAATTCATGTAGATATACAATGCAAGTATACATTCCTTAAATAGGCATGAGTATGGTAAATACTTAACACATAGCACTTAACACTTAATAATCATGAAATAAGCGTGTCCTAGACTTACTCAATTACGTATTCCTATATGGAACACTCACCTAATCAAAACAAACGAGTAGTTTTCAAACAAGCGTTTAGGTGTCCGCTCCGAGTTCCTCTTGGAGATTCCCTCGAGTGCCTGAGTAAACAATAATCAAGTACCACTCAATATCACTACGAATCTCTAATTATCGAGGAAGATTGTACGTTACTGCAATCTAAGGAAATCTTATGAAAATGAACCTCAATTACTCGTAAATCGAGGTTCAAGAGTAAAGTTTTAAAGTCTAAAGAGAGAGACTAACATTTTCCATGAAATCGAGTTCAAAATGTTCAATCGGTATCGAGAAAAGAAGGCAAGTTTCCAAAATCTCATTTTCTAAGAAATTGACAAATTTCAGCTTTGGGTGTCAATTTAGAAAAATCGTATCTTGCACTATGTAGGTCCATAATTAGAAAGCTTGATACCGTTGGAAACTTCTTCAAAAGCACTAAAAGCTCCTGGAAGATACTTTTCCATGATTCCAAACGGAAGGTATTCAAAAATTGACTCAAAGTTGCTGCTTGGGACCATTATGACAGTTTCGGGGTTGGTTTTTGACCAACTTTGAAAATCCAGCAAAATTCACACAATACGAACTAGCCTCCAAAATTTAGAACTCAATTAGAGCTACAATCAAAGTTTAAAACAAAACAAACGGAACAAGAATCAAAGTTTTGAGCGCCAAGATATAGCAGCTCAAAGTTGGTAACTTGCATTACCAAGACAAATTTAAGTTGGTTTTTGGCCAACTTTGGAAATTCGGCAAAATTCATTTGTTTTGAACTAACCTTTGAAATTTGGAAATCAATTAGTGTTGCAATCCAAGAGTATACAAAAAAACAAGCGGAATGAGAAACGGAGTTTCGAGCACCAAGATATGGTAATTCAAAGTTAGTGAAAATGTGAAACTGTTACGTAAATTCCAGGTTTAATTCACAACTTTGGGACTTTGATTGAACATCGAAATGGATTCGGAATGGCACCAAATTTGGCAGTATTATCCTACCATATAAGGGCTATTTCTCTACCAAATTTCGTAGGAAAATTCATTCGTAAAGTTGGTTAACGAAATCACTAAAGTCCCAAGAAGTTCCTCGGCAATCTGCCTTGGACTTCCGTTTTTCCATTTTCAAAACGTTTGGCCAATAAAACACCTCAAACACGGTTCATTTCAGTAGATAATGTCTAAGGTACATTTGATAGGTGATTTATACCAAGAATTTCGAATGACAAGTCCCAAGTCAAGATTGGCTAATCGGCTAAGAGAAAAGGAAAAGTTTTCCAGATTCGAAGAGCAATTTCGGGGCATCATTTGCATATCAAAATGGTCTTAGAATATCACCAAATTTTTCACAATTAAACCTCCATATGAGGACCACTCCTCTATCAAATTTCATTTGGAAATTCACACGAGAAGGTAGTTAACTAAACCATCAAAGTTCAAGAAATTTCCCAAGGCAAAACTGTCTTCTAGCTCTTCTTTCTTTTTAAACATTTTGTCCAATGCAACCAACCCAAATCTGGTTTATTTGTAAAACAAAGTCCAAGGAACATCTAATATAAAGTTTGGTAGATGTTGGACATCAAAGTTTCCAAAACAACAAGTCCCAAATCATTGTTAGTTACAAATCTGTCCAAGTGGAAAATTCTATCACTGTAGCAGTTTCAAACTTTGGCCACAACTCACTCAATTCAACTTGGAATTGGCCGTGGTTGATGGCGTTGGAAAGCTCTCTTATAAAGCTGAATTTTATCAGAAGAAACCATTCTCAAATTCTATCCACAAACAGCTCGTTTTTGAGCATCAAGAAGCAATTTCTGTCCTGTCTCCTGGAGGGCAATGAAACAGGGCAGTGATTTTCAAACGAATGGTGTGGCTCACTCAAGTGGAACCAGAACGTGAATTTGGTACCAATGGAAAGCTGGGAATGTCTAGTTTCCAGTTCCGCAAACGGCACTTAATTTCGACATCGGAGGAAAGAGTTATGGCCGATACCAAATGACTGCCTGGGCAATAGGGATTCATTTTCCAGTTTTGCTAACTTTGGAAATCAACTCATTTGACTAACCAAATCATGTTATTTTTCAATAAAATTTTGTACACAATCACACTAACATGTAAACAATATAATCAAGTCATTAGAGCTTCAAAAGTTTGCACAAAAATGGTCGGACAAGGCAGGGGTAAAACGGTCACTTTTGCTTCTTGCACCCAACGAAGTTTCTATCAATTACACACCATTAATCCATCATTTTAACTACTAAACCAACAATATATCCACCATCAATCATCAAATCAGCAACAACCCAAGAGTGGGAGTTCATAGAGCCCACTTTCACATTTTATACCATAAACAAGACTACCCACATGATTATATAACCTTATATGTGCAATATATCTTACAAAAACTAAGATCTATGGGTTGGATGATTTGCTACCTTCTTGGATGACTAGATCAGAAATTTTGGTCACTCTTTGCTCCAGAAAACCGTGACTTTTTAGCTCCCTTTTGCAGCTCAAAATACTCCTCAAGTGTTATACTAAGTGTGGGTGAAATTTGAAGTGAATTAGAGAAGATTTGGTGAAGATTTGATGGAGGAATTTGAAGAACTCTTGAGCTGTTTTTCTTGCTTGTTGTTCGGCCAGATGAGGGAGCAAGAGAGAGAGTGTGATCAGATTTCTAAGCTTCCAAGAGAAGACATTAACTTGTGGTCTCAAATCACCCATTAGTCAACTCACATTAGGGTGCGTTTGGCGCGATTAGGGCTCGATTTTCTCGCGCGTTTGTTTCACTAGTGCACTAAACCTCTAATGCACTTATATTCATATAACTATTATTCACTCTTAAATTGTCCCAAAATAAGGGTCTAAAGTTCCTAAATTAAATCGCGCGCGTAAAAACGCGTACGTCCAATTTATGCGCGATAAGACGAAATTTCTGAAAAATTCTTATAACGATAGTACTAATAACTATCACTTGAGTATTTAAACACTAAAATGCCTAATTTAGGTCCATTGTACATGTCTCCAATATTTCAAACCTATTGTACTCTCAATCGATCAAGATTTCCAAAGACGTGTTCACTATTTTCACTAAACGAGCTTCCGAAAATTAATTTTTGAAACAAGTTATTTTAAAAATATAATGAAACTATATTTCCATGTAATTAGGTCTCAAGAGCTTAGAAAATAATATTCGGAGTAAAAGATCAAATAAATAATTAAATAAGCTAGAAATAGGAGATTAAATAAGTAAATTTTGCGAGTCCTCACAACCTCCCCTCCTTAAAAGAATTTCGTCCTCGAAATTCATACCTTCTGTAATCTCAGACAACTCTGAACCGTGTGGTGTATTCATGTTATGCGTTCTTTCAGATGCCATTGGTCGGTTTTTCCTTCCATTGACTTGTCGAGAGATAGTTCCATTTCCTTGTTGAGCAGTAGTTTTTCGTGGATACCTCCTTGGACAGTCATGAACTTTATGGTTGGTACTCCCACACCCCATACACTTTCGTCCCTTTAGCCAACAGTTTTCTTCAGTGTGATTCGTCCTTCCACAATATCCACAAGTCGGACGAGGTGTTGTGACCTGACTTGCTTGCGAGGTTTTCTTCGATTGTGTTTGTCCTACTGAAGTCCCTCGTGACATAATTTCTTTTGGTTCTTTTATCATGAGTGGTGCAGGAAGTAACAGTTCTACTTCATCCACTTCTTTTCTAACTTTGGGTGGTGGTCCATTTTCTCCTAATGTACTGTCAGATGCATCTCTTTTCCTTGTTTGAAAAGCTTTTAGTTGAGATTTTGTGCTTTCTACCCTTTGCGCTTTTTCGAGAGCGTTACTAAATGTTTCAACCTGTGCTGCAGCAAGGGCATCTTGGATTTCCAAATCTAATCCTTGGATAAACCGTCTTATTCTCTTCCGTTCAGTAACCACCAATTCTCGGGCATATGTAGATAATTTCGTAAAGCGTGTTTCATACTCAGCTACGCTCAAAGTTCCTTGACGAAGGTTTATAAAATCATCTTCTCTCTTTTCTTGGACAAGTGGAGGAAGAAATTTCTCATTAAATTCACGCACAAAGTTTATCCAAGTCCTTAGGGTTTGATCTCTTTTCCACTTGTTTCTTATAACATTCCACCATGATCGGGCTGCTCCTTCAAGTTGAAATACAGCAAAGGTGACTTGTCTCTCCTTTGTGTAATCCAAGGCATCGAATATATTTCTTATATTCTCTAACCAATTCTCAGCCACCTCTGGATCAGGTCCTCCAGCAAATTTAGGTGGGAAAAATTTCTGAAACCGCTCTAAAGCTCGATCCTCCCCTATTTCTTGGTTTCCACGCTGGTTTCCTTGTCCAACACCTTGACCTTGTTGAGCTACCAAGAGCTCTAGGATATCCGTCATGCGAGTTAAAACTTGTCCCATCTAGTCATTTCCTCTCCCAGCACTTAGCTCAACGTTTTGATCAATATCGGACCTATTAGCTACTCTTTCATTTCGGGGTTGTCTAGGTTGACGTCCCTTTCGTTGTCCTCTAGTTTCCATGTTCACAACTAATCTATACGCACATGCATAACCCTCACACTTAGTTAAAATTGAACTATACTCATATACCAGTAGCAACATTTAAAGAGGATGAAGACACTTTCACAAATAAAATTATCACTATGTAAGTAAACACAAACTAGAGTTCATTAAATCATAACACAAATTATGGCCAAGTAAAGTTCATGCCAAGTCAAAGTCAATAACAAAAATAAACAAGTGATTATCACAAGTACATTCATCTCCAAGGCGCAAACTCTTAAGTTCTACTCCCATCGTCTCACTATGAAAGATCACAAGTAGGGATTCACTAGATTAATTGGAACTAGATGATTCTCGTTCCCTAACATGCTCGATTTCAATTCCCAACACAAGGATCTTTTGGATTACGATCTTTTCCGCCTTCCATTCTTGATTATCGTACCATCTTAACCAAACAATTATTGGTTTCCTGTAATCATTCACATGAAATATCGATTCATTCTTATTCCCCACAAATGGAGATATAAAATCCTTATGGTTGCTTTCCACTCTCAAGTACTCGGGTACAAGAATCAGAAATAAAATAATTCACAACTCGAGCCGGCCGGTCCCAAGAGTAAATCACCACATTCGAGATTCCTACCCAACATACATATCAAATTCCCTCCAATTATCAAGATAAAGGTTTTACAACCTACAATATTCATGATTCACAGCTTATATTTCTAGAAGGGCACTTAAATCTTTACTCAATCACATGGTAAGAATCATAACACCACTTGGCCCTATCTACTCCTTTGTAGAGACCACGTGAAGTGGCTCTAAATTTCATCGCTACAAGCAATCATTTAACTTTCAGATCAGTCCCACAGTCCGGCATCCTAAACATTTAAGCCTAAGATACACTACAAAGATCTGAAACCTAAGCTCTGATACCAACTGTAGCGCCCCCACTTCTCCCTAAGGCGAACCAAAGGGTATCCGCGGGACGCCTGCCCAGCTCTCGCCAGGACTCACTACAATCCATCATTCAAAAGCTCGAAATACTTTAAGTCACTTCAATACATAATTAAAGTATTTCAAATATCTCACACTTACAATTATACAGCTTTCAAGCTTAAATACAACCCAACAGAAAAGGGTACAATAGCCATCCGTTATAATATAACTTAAAATCTTCAAAAGAAAGCAATCTAGTACTACTCACGAGCACCCTTGATCTCGAACCCTGTAAAAGAAAACCACAACGTGGGATGAGCTACACAGCCCAGTGAGGTTCCAAGACACTCTAACAGTTCAAATAAATCAAGTAAGTTGGGTATATCATATGCATGGTTCAAGGTTGCACAATGGCATATTATCATGAGACAGGTATCATGGTATGAGTACATTGGTCAGGTAACAGGTATGGAGCATATCACAGGCATAGCTCAGGATTTCAAGTTGGCATTTTAGCATGAAACAATTATCATGATACAAGGTAAACATATACGGTAGGATACGGTGTTTCAGTGGAACTCTGTCGGTCATCTGCACCTTATGACTTCCGGATCCCCATGGTACGGTCTGGCCATCGCCTTATCCCTCCAGTGGTAATACTCGAGTATACCGAAACGGTGGCCCAGGGTTCCAACCTACCCGACCGAGCCCAGTCCTGGCTCGAGTAGGTCAGTAACCAAGGGCAGGGCCCAAGTTCAGCATAGAGCTTACAACATGCACAGGTAACCAAGTAATTCGACAAAAGGTAAAATTCATCATTAGAGTAGATCGAGTGAGGTAAAGTACACACTCGCCTAATAATGATGGACAGCTTCATATAACATGTGATTCATGATAATCAAGTAATCAAGTAGATACTTAGCACGTAAGCACGTAAGCAATACAAGTTGATTTCATGGGAGCATGTAATTCACGGATATCGAATAGTCATGTAGATTGGAAATCATGTGAGCAAATAGTCAAGTAATCAAGTAGTCATGTGGTTGGTAAACAGTTCACGGTTAACGGTTGACGGTTAACGGTTAAGTAGTGACGGTTAATTGACAGGCATTTGTCATATGAATAGGCCACCATTGGCCGTTATCCCATTTTTACCATGTGAGAGTCGAGGAGATTCACTCCAACGACGTATACAACCTTAGCATACCAAGTCATGTTATTCGAGTATTTCCAAGCATGAGTTATTCATCTCAAAAGAGAACGAGTGCGATAAAGTACACACTCGACTCCATTTCTCAAAATCAAGTAGGCTAAGTAAATAATCTAGCAAGTTAAGCATGTATCGAGTTCATATGGTCATTTGATATGGTTAATCATTTAACCAATTCATGTAGATATACAATGCAAGTATACATTCCTTAAATAGGCATGAGTATGGTAAATACTTAACACATAGCACTTAACACTTAATAATCATGAAATAAGCGTGTCCTAGACTTATTCAATTACGTATTCCTATATGGAACACTCACTAGTCAAAACAAGAGAGTAGTTTTCAAACAAGCGTTTAGGTGTCCGCTCCGAGATCCTCTTGGAGATTCCCTCGAGTGCCTGAGTAAACAATAATCAAGTACCACTCAATATCACTACGAATCTCTAATTATCGAGGAAGATTGTACGCTATTGCAATCTATGGAAATCTTATGAAAATGAACCTCAATTACTCGTAAATCGAGGTTCAAGAGTAAAGTTTTAAAGTCTAAAGAGAGGAACTAACATTTTCCATGAAATCGAGTTCAAAATGTTCAATCGGTATCGAGAAAAGAAGGCAAGTTTCCAAAATCTCATTTTCTAAGAAATTGACAAATTTCAGCTTTGGGTGTCAATTTAGAAAAATCGTATCTTGCACTATGTAGGTCCATAATTAGAAAGCTTGATACCGTTGGAAACTTCTTCAAAAGCACTAAAAGTTCCTAGAAGATACTTTTCCATGATTCCAAACGGAAGATATTCAAAAATTGACTCAAAGTTGCTGCTTGGGACCATTATGACAGTTTCGGGGTTGGTTTTTGACCAACTTTGAAAATCCAGCAAAATTCACACAATACGAACTAGCCTCCGAAATTTAGAACTCAATTAGAGCTACAATCAAAGTTTA